ATATATAACTACCGACGGGGTGGGGAGGCTAGGCGAGTGAAGCGAGCCTCATTTGGCTGAGGCCAGAGGCTGCATCGGGTGAAGCCCTCTGGAAGCCACGGATATTTGACGAATTATGGTGAATTTCTATTACTTATTTGATAGGCATCGAGCTACTATAATATGACTTCATGTATGTTTTCAAATGTCGAAATCAACTTCCAACACTTAAAAATATTTTGAATATAACAAGAAACAAAGAGTATGCAATGTAATTCTCGGCATTGTATCTATGGTCTATTCGCACATGTCGGCTCGACCTAGCCAAACGAAGCCTAGCATACTCTTGCCCGAGGACGATCAGCTCGAGTTGGCTTGTTCTTTTCCGGCCCGAAAATATTTGGAAACATTTTAATTTGCATCTTACTTCAGATCAACATTAAATTTAGGGAGGACCGAGATACACGTTGTAACATTGTCAATGTTTTAAAGATTTTAAGTAAATCGGTCATTTAATTTTTTAGTTTTGCGCCCGGAAGGAGACACGAACACAGACAGACACGCGCTATAATTGCAACACCCTTCACCTCTCTTTCGGAGACGCGAGGGTAATAACTTCATGTTTTGAGATTATATTTCTCATAGTTCATTTTTATAGATTAGTTAGTAACAACAAGTAGTACAGAACTCTTCAAGATGACCCAATAAAGATCAAACGTTTCAAAATGTCGAAACGTTAAATCATGCCGCCGGGACCTTTCATTATTCGGAGTTTGCATATCGTTCGTTCTAAATACAAAATACATTAACCGTTTGGTAATTTCTTTACAGTATTTGCCTTTATTTTGTTTCCACATTTTAAATATGCATCATTTTTGTGCAATACAACACTCTATTTTGTATAATGTTTAGATCATAATGATATATTTACTGCTATAATCTACATAAGGTTTTTAAAACAAAGTTAATTACTATATTCTGTATAAATTCTAATCAAACATATTGTTTTCATTAGTAAAGGTTCGATGGCATTAAAATCTTAAGTTATGACGTAGGGTAACAAAAAGAAACACCAAAACTCTTGATGTTATCAGAAATTAGATTAACTACAAAAATACACATTTTCTATAGTATTATTCTTTTCTAATATAATTCTTAACCATAGACCGGTCGGATTTAGAGGAAGGTGTCACATTTTTGCAGATTTTACCTGACCAACTTTTTCTAATGTATTTTTCGTGAGTGGATTTCCCGTACGATTAAAAATCGTAACGGTACTGGGTTTGGTCTACAGGAGTTCGTGCTTTCGAACAGGTCATTCCCTTCATAGAAAAAGCCTTTTGATGGAGAAAGTGTACCTTTTTAGCAAAGGTTTGCCTAGGTCGAAACTAACTCCGGCTATATAAAAATGATAATAAGATAAGATTGAAAAATATTAATCTTATTGTTGTAGTAGTGATACTATGTACACGTTTAAATTATTGTTATTTATTTGCTAACGTCATTATATTTACATTTAAATTGAATGTATTGTTTAAGTATGAATTACAATGTCCATGTAAAATTAATCTTTTCTATTAAAATTGTATATTTTAAATAATATAGTAATAGGCATAGCCGAGGTCACATCCAATGGCAATACTTAGCATACCCTGCAATTTACCCTTACGGTCGGCCACTGTGTGTTACAGGAAGCCGATGAGGTGCCTTACACAGGCGTGATGATCGGGCTTAAAGAGACCAAGCGGGTAGCTGCAGTCCGAACTCGCTGAAGTTTTGAAAGATATCCTTAGCTGGCAAACGATATCGCAATAAGTTACAACAATCTAGCCTTGATGTTACAAAAGCATGAAGAAGATCATTTGATCTAGGTTCTAGCTACTGCCAGATACTCCAAATACCTACGAATTAACTGAAGCCCGGCTTTATAATCATTAAATTATAATGATTTCTTTCTGCGAACATTATGACCCTTTTTTGCATTTTACGTTATGGCATATAACAATAAACGTCTCCTGAATATGTTGTCTTATTTTTTAAACCCCAGCTAACGATTATTTCATTTTTATTGCCACATCCATTTCTACGTATTATTACAGGGTAAATAACCTCCCCACTTTTGACCCAACCAGCCTGGCAACAGTCATATCCTGAATCCAAGGCGTGCTGTAATTCTGCTCTCGTTGCCATTCTACCGCCGCGGTTTGTGCACAAAGCACCGGCATTATAGTAATTCAAAGAGTAACGACTTTCTCCACGTCCACTCACAACACGATGATTGGGGAATGGATCAGTGTAATTTAGGTTCTCTTTTGAGAGTGGGACAAAACAAAATGCGTTAAATTCTTCGTTGAGACTCCGTAGACGAATATGATTACCTGCTGGATAAAGCCAGAAGTCAGGTGGCGTATGTCCCTTACATGGATTACCTGCCAACCAGCTTGAAAGCCACCCTGTTTCGCAAAGATTAACTCCTAGTGACAATGTGTTATTGTAAACGTGAAGAGGTGTTGCAAGCAAACCATTGAATTCAGTACGGCAACATATCTCACCATCTTCTGCAATCAACTTCTTCGAGTTACTATCTGTCAGTCGAATGATCCGTTGGGTTTTTGGTAAATAGTCGAATTTATCTACTGATTCTTTATATTCTCTGTAACAATAAACCCCACTCAGATATGTTTTGCAAGGAAACACATTGCCACGCTGTTCTGGTGGTTTTAATGTGCAAGCATCTGTTATTTCTGTGAATGCAATCTCGCCACTGATAAGCCAACCCTCTCTGCAGTTGTTTAGATTTGGTTGAAAAGCGTTGTATAACTGCTCGTAAGAAGCAATGGATCCTAAATGATTATTGCATGATTCGATTGCAGATTCATAATCATTCTCGCCTGATATAAAATACACGCCATCTGAAATACAAAAAGTACAAAATATTACGACCTTCGGGCCCAGTCAGTGTGCCCGGCTTAATGGCACAAGGGATGAAACTATCCCTGAGCCTATTCGTAGTTGTTTTCGGAGATCGGTACAGCTAACCGCTCCACATTATCTGAGAAAAGGAATTTGTAGGATGGAAAGGATCTGAAACAATAGATCGTGCTTTTTTTTCGAAAGTCTATCTTGATAGAAATTTTCGACTGAACAATATTACGTTTTATTGACTATATTGTCAATATGATATGTAAAGTAAAAATAGAACTCTGTGTTTATTCAAAAGGCTGAAATAAAATTTCATATTAATGGTTACCTTTCAGATTAGATATCAGAGATGGTTTGCCAGTTTACGAAAGCGATAACGAATACCGTTGATTTTTTATTCAAATCAAATCAAATCACTTGATTGAATATGCGCTTTCTAATAGGTTGTAAACGTCAAGTTGACGGTGCGTTCATTTACTTTTACAATTTACATACAAAAGAAACATAACATCAAGAATTAATTCATCGAAATTAGAATACTGTACATCGAGACAGTCCATTCCCAGTAATATATCTGTAACAACGTAGAACATCCATGGCTTTCAAATGAGTCAACGATTCATTTTGCTCGTGTATATATTTGTCAAGAATCTTTAGGCACGAATGAAGACAATGAAGATTACGTATTAATTCTTTTTAATTATTGTAATTTTTGAAATGCTGTACAGCCAAAATTTCTTTTTATGTATCATGAAGACAAATAAAATTTCTTGAATCTTGAATCTTATCATTTTCGAAAAATAAATGTGCTGTTAACACAATGTTTCATTGTGAACTAACTCATTATTTTTTGCATCATCAATATTTTAGGTCTATAGGTTATATACATTCATTTATTATTTTTTTTTATTATAATGAAACTCCGCATGAAATGGATTCATATATCTGATGATGCTTAATTATATTAACGTAAAGGTAGACAATTTTACTTACGTTTGTAATTATCACGATCGATCACCTGAAATATCAAATATACAATACACTAGTCAGATAGGCCTACTCAAATAAGCGTTTAACTGCTGATTATAAAATGCATATGACTTTTTGAAACAATTTATAATGTGCAACGCAAGCAAAATCATTAAATACAGTACATTACAATGGTAGCATTATATACACACAGTATTTAGGAAATTTATAAAATATAAATAGACAACTGTGTTTAAAGTGATTCAGATTGCAGTAGCAGCAGTGACAGTAGCAACAGTAGCAATACCAGCAGCATTAGCAATAGCAGTAGCAGCAGCAGCAGTAGCAGTAGCAGTAGCGGCAGTAGTAATAGTAGTAGTAGTAGTAGTAGTAGTAGTAGTAGTAGTAGTAGTAGTAATAGTAGGCCTAGTAGTAGCAGTAGCATTAATAGTAGTAGTAGTATTAATAGCTGTAGCAGCAGCATTAGCAATAGCATTAGCAGCAGCAGCAGCAGTAGCGGTAGTAGTAGTAGTAGTAGTAGTAGTAGTAGTAGTAGTAGTAGTAGTAGTAGTAGTAGTAGTAGTAGTAGTAGTAGTAGTAGTAGTAGTAGTAGTAGTAGTAGTAATGGTAGTAGTAGTAGTAGTAGCAGCAGCAGTAGTAGTAGTAGTAGTAGTAGTAGTAGTAGGCCTAGTAGCAGCAGTAGCATTAGTAGTAGTAGTAGTAGTAGTAGTAATAGCAGTTGCAGTAGCAGCAGTAGCAGTAGCAGCAGTAGCAGTAGCATTGGCAATAGCATTAGCAGTAGTAGAAGTAGTACTATTATTACTAGAATTATTATACAATTATTATTATTTGTTGCTCACCTTTTCCATATAATCGTTTGAAGAGTTTGCTAAGAAATCGCCAACATTTGCGTCCTCTCGTATTTTCTTGTTTATTTGACAGATATTATCGTGATGGTTGTAATTCACAGAAAAACAGTAAGTTTTTCTTGAGCAAGCCAACAGACACTGAATGCGATTAACCATCTTTAGCTCTTGACTCCAGCCTAGCAAAACATGCTGTTTAAGAATAACATACTGCTCTGTGTTAGCAAGAGTAATACTGACTCCCAAATAGAAAAAGACGGATGTCAAGACAGCAAGCACATACATGGTCTAGCAAGTATGGAGAAAATGAATAACGTCTTTTATCTTGTAAGTTCTATCTGCAATAAGGTAAGCACTTATATTCGAGTCAGTATATTGCAGTAAATATCAGATAGATGAGCACGATCTAGGTTACTACAAATTTGTCAAATGGGAGGGATTGTAATATCATGTAACAAACGTAAGATGTGTTTACATAACTACGTTTCTCTAATATAATTTTTACTGAATAAACCAATACGTTGATGGTGCCTTTAAATACGCAAGCTTTTTGTCTTGTCAACAAGACTTCATCAGGCTGAATGGGCTGTCATCATTAACCTATTGGTTTATTCAATACAACATGTATTAGACGTACCGATACAAGACCAGAATAAATTAAATTTTTATAGTATATTGATTTTGATTGATTTTTTCAGGCCTAATTTTCACTTCGCTAATATCTAAAACGTTCTTCTATCTCTGCAATTATTACAAAAAGAAAAATTTGTTCTTCAAACTTAAAATGTTCTATAATCATTTCCAAGAGAGTGGGAGATGTTACCTAAAAAGAGGTTTAACTGGCAATGGAATTATAATGCAATTACTTTGTAAAAATATATTCATCTGAAGTAAAGTAATGTAATTTGTGTTCTTAAAATTTAGGGGTTTCAAAGCGAAGCCCTCTGGAAGCCATGGATATTTGACGAATTGTGGATAATATTTATTACTTATTTAATAGGCATCGAGCTACTATAATATGACTTCATGTATGTTTTCAAATGTCATAATCAGCTTCAAAAACTAAAAAACTTTTTAAATAAAACAATAAACAAAGAGTATGTAATGTAACCACCTGATTTTCAAATCCTCTTTCTTCAAAGTGAAATTCTACATTTTGGAAATTTTGCATGAAGTCTGTCAACCACACTGTCAAGGTCGAGGTTTCTTCCCCTATCACGATGTATTCCAAGCATCATGAGGCTATCAAAATGAGCATTTGTCATAACAGAACGCAAGTTATTTTTAATTAGTCTCATTGAAATATTATTATTATTATTATTATTATTATTATTATTATTATTATTATTATTATTATTATTGTGATGGAAAGTTATTAGTGTTTGAATCATTTTTCTTTGCAATTTCATTACAAAATAATGTGCAAAGCTAAAATTAAACAAAAGAATAACGATTGCAACATTAAACGTAATTCTGTACATTGGGACAAAATATCTGATGAGAACATTAATCTATATAGTGAAATTTCTTATTGTTTGTACTATACAACTTAAAAGCAATGCAATGGCTTGCAATAATATGTGTTGCAATAATGAGGGTCGTGTGCATGAAATCGATAAATTGTATGAAAATACTGTTAACGGTTTAGTTAAAGCCTCTGATATATGTTTTGGTACAATATCGAAAACAACGTCATCCTATAATGTACCTGGGTAAAATGATCATTTACATAATATTGCAAGAGAAGCTTTTCTTTTATGGAGGTCTGATGGTAAACCTAAATTTGGACCACTATTTGATACCATGAAAACTTCAAGGTCTCAGTTCAAACTAGCCATTAAATGGTGTAGAAAGAATGAGGAAATGATTAAGGCGGATGCTATGGCTAAGGCCCCATAAAACAAATATTAGTTTATCACCCGCTCCCTCATCACTTTTGGGAAAAATCTAATTTTTCTTTTTTTTTTCTTTTCAATCAACATATATTTTCATTTCAAACGGTCCTTTTTCCATCTTTTTTCACTTGAAAATCTCAGGGTTTCTTGCAAATATGCTTACTGGTACAACAAAAACATATTTTTTAAATATAAATTTGATTCCATTCTTATGACTTTTTATGTATGTGTCTCTAACCATTGGTTTACTTGTGATCATCGGTAAAATGGGGGCGGGATTAGCAAAAAAAAAAAAAGCAAACAAAAAAAAAAACCTCCCTCCCTCATCAGTTTTCATTCTTTGATAGGGTGATAAACTAATAATTATTTTTATGGGGCCTAATGAATTGTAGGGTAAGAAGAAGTTCTTCTTGCATTAAGGTAAGCACGTTACGAGTCAGTATATTGCAGAAAATATCATACAGATAAGCACGATCTTGGTTACAACAAATTCATCAAATTGGAGGGGTTGTAATATCGTGTAACATACGTAATATGTGTTTACATAACTACGTTTCTCTAATATAATTTTTAATGAATAAGCCAATACGTTGATGGTGCCTTTTTACGCAGGCTTTTTGTCTTGTTGTCAACAAGACCTTCATCAGGCTGACTGGGCTGTCATCATTAACGTATTAATTTATTCATTAAAGAATGTATTAGACATACCGATACAAACCCAGAAGAAACCCAATTTTTATAGTATATTGATTTTGATTGATTTCTAAGTTAATTTTCACTTCGCTAATGTCTGAAACGTTCTTCTTTCTCTCCAATTATTACAAAAAAAAAATTTGTTTCACAACTTCATGTCTGTAATCATTTCCAAGAGAGTGGGAGACGTTACCTAAAAAGAGGTTTAACTGACAATGGACTTATAATGCAATTACTTTGTAAAAATATATTCATCTAAAGTAAAGTAATAATATGTAATTTTTGTGTTCTTAAACTTAACTTAAAATTTAGGAGTTTCAAATTATTGATTTAAATTCAAATCTTCTGGGGAGGCTAGGCGAGTGAAGCGAGCCTCATTTGGCTGAGGCCAGGGGCTGCGAAGCTCTCTGGAAGCCACTGATATTTGACGAATTATGGTGAATTTTTATTACTTATTTGATAGGCATCGAGCTACTATAATATGACTTCATGTATGTTTTCAAATGTCGAAATCAGCTTCCAACACTAAAAAAACATTTTGAATAAAACAAGAAACAAAGAGTATGCAATGTAACCACCTGATGTATTTTTAAATCATTCTTCAAAGTGAAATTCTACATTTTGGAAATTTTGCATGAAGTTCGTCAACCACACTGTCAAGGTCAAGGTTTTTTCCCCTATCACGATGTATTCCAAGCATCATGAAGCTATCCAAACGAGCATTCGTCATAACAGAACGCAAATCATTTTTAATTAGCCTCATTGAAATATTATTATTATTATTATTATTATTATTATTATTATTATTATTATTGTGATCGAAAGTTTACACAAATGGTTCAATGAAAACAATAATGGTGGCTAAATGAATATTACATGTACATATTTTGTTTTTTATTTATTTATTCCCCGACAAGATCTACTCGTATTCCCTGACGGGGAGGGAGGCTATGCTTCCCCGACGGGGGATATATCCCCACGCCCACCTCTGGCGCCACCACTGCTGCCGGGCTATTACGGCGTCATACGAATCCAACTCGTCTTCCAGTGAGCATAGACGGCGGGGCAGTCGGTGGCAGTAGCTTGAGCTGATAGTCATTAAACACGATCCTTTGCGTGCGTCGTGCCGTTACATTCTTCATAAAATCGGGCGTCGGACGAACACCGATGGGCGTACTTTGGGTGCCCGGCTTAAGGAGACTTTCGGAAAAAATACGCAACCTCTAGAACAAATCGTAATTATTATAAAGAATCTATGACGTAGCATGTATAGCCTTCGCAAGCTTAAATCATTTCTTGTTTGCAATATAATACTTTTACGTTTTTTTAAAACTCGACTATTCTTAGTAGCCTACATGGAACTACTATATAGAATGTTGGGGTGGTAACGCGTCTAAAGGTGGTCTGAGTTAGCAGTCGGTGGAATCAGTGCATCACGAGCGTTTAGCTAAATGTTTCATAGCATTTTAGAGGATGACATTCACTGTTTATACTCTGAGATAGCTAGCCGTAAAATAAAGCGTAAGTGGCAGACTTAGATCACTTTCAGCTCGCACAAATTAGTATGCTGATTCATTTATATCTCAAGGAATTCGTGCATTTAACAATGCTTTTAAAGGATAATTAAAAACAATAATAAATTTTAAAAAAAGCATACTAAGAATATAAATATATGCAAATGTTATTGTAAAACAGAGAATATTTTAAGATACGATTGGTATTATATGTCGTGATTTTAATGCATAATATTTTAATAATCGTTTTCATTATAGACTATAAGTTTCTATTATATTTTTTTTATTGTAATTTTTGTATACAAGCAAATAATTTCCCAAACGGGATTAATAATGTTTTCATCTTATCTTATAAGAGTGAAAATGATATTCATAAGTTAAACATTATTGATCGGTGAGCCTGTTACAGCATCCGTACCAATTTGGTATTTCAAATTTGGTAGAATAAAAGATGTAACCATTCGACCACCTATATACACTCAAATTTGGGTTATGCCAATGTGAAAAAAAACAAGACAAGAGCTTATCATAGAGAGAGATAGAGAGGGAGAGAGAGATAGGGAGTAAGGTTTGATTAATCATGCAATTTCATTTATACAAAATCAAATAAGATTTAATTCTTAAAATTCAAATAAGATTTCAATTATTTGCAGACCCTTTACTATTTATCCGTTTTGATTATCAGATATGTTTTGTAAATCAGCAAGAAATTGTTCTATTAATCATATATATATATATATATATATATATATATATATATTATATATATATACAAAGTAATTTTAATATATATAGTATAGTTGTAGTTTTATATATACATACAAAGTAATATATACATACAAAGTAATTTTAATATTGATAAATATTTTTTTAATGTAACAGACTTAATTTGTCACTTACATTTAATTTTTTTAAACAAAAGTTAACAAAGATATCTTTTTCTACACATATTTGTAAAATCTTGTTAATTAAATGCCGTTTCAAAAAGCATCTCGTTTCAGTTTTGTGTGTAATAAAGTTATAATTTACTATGTTCTGTGGAAATCCAATTTAAGTATATTGTTTTCTTAGTAATATTCACATATATATATATACATATATATACATATACATATATATATATATATATGTATTGTTTTAAAACATATATTATAGAAATAAATATATAATTATGTATTTTATTACACAAAAAACAAGA